TCTTCTGTCTATAGGGACAATCACAAGCCACAAGTCACCTATGCTGCCAACACTGAAAACTATGTGGCTTTACAAGTCTTTAGTGGCAATGTTTACTTTTCGTTTTGTTTTGTTTTTATTTTTTTGAGACAGGGTCTCCCAGTAGCCCCAGCTGGCCTGGAACTCACTGTGTAGACCAGGCTGGCCTTGAACTCACAGAGATCTGCCTGCCTATGCCTCCTGAGTGCTGGGAGTGGCAATGTTTTTAAAGACTATGATGGACTGCCATGATTAACGTGGGCCTCTAAAAGGATGATCTGACAGAACAGACAAGGCTTTGACTACAGTCCTGCTCCAAGCCCTGATGACGCAGTTAAGAGATGGAAGGAGAGGATGAGTAAGTATACCTATGTTGTGCAGTGCCTGTGGAGGACAGAAGAGGGCATTGGATCCCCTGGAACTGGAGTTAGCCACCCTATGGGTGCTGGGATTCGAATCTAGGTCTTCTGCAAGAGCAATCAGTGCTCTTAACTGCTGAGCCATCTTTCCAGGCCCAGTAAAACTATTTTTTAATGAAGAATGCTGGGCATCCTAGTTTTTTGACTTTGTAAAATTTCACAAGGTTATGTTTTTGAGAAAACGGTCTTATCTAGCCCTGGCTGTCCTTGAACTTGCTATGTGGTAAGGATCACCTTGATCCTCTTGCCTCTATTTCCAGAGTGCTACGCTTACAAAACATACACAACTATGTTCAGATGCTATGTTCAGGGTGCTAGGGCTTCATGCATGCTAGGAACCAACTGAGCCATATACCTAGCCCAGATTATGTTTTTGGTTGTTTTGTTTTTTTTTTTAAAGTCCTGAGGATAGTGCCTCTGGCCTTACACATGCTAGGCACTGTTACCACTATGCTACAGTCCCAGCCTGCTTTTATTTCCTCCTCCTCCTCTTCTTTTCTCCTTCTCCTCCTCCTCCTCCTCCTCCCCTGCCCCCCTTCCTCATTCTTCTTCTCCTTCTCTTCCTCCTCCTCATTATTATTATTATTAGAGACAAGATGTTGCTAAATTGTCCAGGCTGGCCTTGAACTTGTGATCCTTCTGGAGTAGTAGGGGTAAGAGGCCCCCATCACCAGATTGGGCATCACAAAGGACCTTCGGCGTTATTTAGCCAGACAACCTTTCTGATAACAGAGGAAGCTAACCTCACTCCCACCCAGGGCCACTGCGTTAAAGATGATATCAGACTTATGGTTTCACTTCCACTGCTTCTGTGTTACCTGAGAGAGAGTTTATGGATTTTAACTACATTAAGTGGATTTGAAATTCCAGTCAGAAAGCACTGATTGTTATTAGCTTTCTAAAAAACGTCTAAGTCTAAAAGCCTTTTCCTCTTTAGTCTGAAGTTTCTAATGTGAGGAAGCAAGATTTAATTATAGCCTAGAGTCACCACACTACACAGGCCTTTAAAAAAATTGGTGTTCCATTTAGTTTTTGGTTTCCTATAGCTTTTTATAGGATTAAAGGAGTCCACATTCACTGGGAAAACTCAAACAGAATAGACAAGCATAGGACAGAGGTGAGGACCCCCCCTCCATAGACTCCCTAAATCATGCACTTGGGACAGTTGTTCCTTCAAGTTTAGTGATCATATGCCTCCTCATTCTTAGTGATAGTGTTTTTAATACAAAGCACCAGGCCTGGCTTTGGGGGTGGAGGTGGGGAGGAAAGAACACTTCCGTAACTTCCTAGGCTCTAGATGTGACCAAAGAATACATTAGGGATATGAAAATCACCCAGAAACAAAATCTTTAGTTTGATCTATTCTGTCACCCCTTAGATCTTAGATGACTTAACCCTCAGTTGCTGGCCTAGACAGATGTCCTTTAAGACAAGATTTTCTTCTTTTTTTTGGTCTTTTTGAGACAGGGTCTCCCTGTAGCCCCAGCTGTCCTGGAACTTACTATGTAGACCAGGCTGGCCTTAAACTCACAGAGATCTGCCTGTCTCTGCCTCCCGAGTGCTGGGATTAAAGGCATGCACCACCATGCCCGGCTATGCTGTATATTTTAACACAGTTCACTTAGGTCATCAAACCAACTCCCTCTTGGCTTGGGTACACCACATTAGTTTTTAAGCTGAGGGAAAACCTCAATAACCTCCCTGCTTTTAGCTTCTGAGCCTGACTAAACCCTCAAGACTTCCTCTGCATTGAGTCACTTGCTTTTCTAGACTTCATCCATGTCACCTGCGCTTAGTCACTTGCTCTCAGCTGTAGGTAACCCCTCTGGCTTGTGGGTTACCATGGTAGCAGTTGATGCAGTTTATTCTGACCTTCCTTCACACCTAAGCTACCCCTAAACTACTCCTAAACATTGCCCTCAGGGAGGCCGATTTGAGAACTCTTCTCCTGTCTCCACAAGCCTGGCTACCTCATGAGTAAATTCTCTCTTGCAAAACTTATTTCGGTGATTGGTACATAGTATGGAAGCCAATGAGCCTTGTTTAGTAGCAGTTTTATTATTGTTCTGTACCCATGAAGGATCTGAACTTAGGTCTGTTGAAGACTGATGGTCTCAGTGTTGGTCTTTTAAAAAAATCACAGGCCTTTTTATACTTATCACTTGTACAAGCAGGTACAGCATTACTTGTATGAACCAGAACACTGTCCCCAGCTTAACAAACCTGTTAACCTGTCCCCAGCTTAACAAAAGTTTCAGTTACAATTTTTTGACTTTACAATGGTACAAAATGATATACATTCAATAGAAATCACACTTCGCATTTTAGATTTTGAACCTGTCCCAGGCTAGTGACAGCTGCACAATCCTCTTGTGATGACAGGGCAGCAGGGTGCTCCTGATCACAGACTACCTACGATCACTTGGAGAATCAACCAGCAGATAGTGGGCTGTGTGCCACAGGGAAGTGTTTAATTTAGGCCTGTGTGTATGTACATGCATGCGTGCGTGTTTGAGTGTGGACACCTGCACGCCCATGGTGCATGTGAGGGGGTCAAGGACAACCTCAGAAGTCAGGCCTTGCCTTTCACCTCCTTTGAGGTTGGGTCTCTTGCTATTTGTTGCTGCATCTGTCAGGCTAGCTGGCCTACAAGCTGCTGGGGACTCTTTTGTCTCCATCTCTCATCTCACTGAAGGAGCACCAGGATTACAGATGCTTGTACTGCTGGTCCAGCTTTTCACATGGGTTTTGAGGATTTGAGTTCAGGCCCTCATTGCTTATGTAGCAGGCACTTTATCCACTGAGCCATCTCCACAGCCAACTTAAGATATATATATATTAAATCAGGATATAACCTGTAAGTTGAAGAGGCTGATGGTGTAGATTTAGAGCATGAATTCTAAAACCAAACAGCCTTGGGTTTGAATAGCTTCCTGTGTGGGAAAAAAAAAAATCAAGCTCTGAGTCAGTTTTTCTCATGTGTAAAATACAGATATAACAGGGTGGGGGAGATGGCTCAGTTGGTAAAGTATTTGTAATAAAAACACCCTGAGTTCAATCACCGGCACCCACGATAACTAACTAACTAACTAACTAACTAACTAACTAAATAAATAAATAAATAAATAAATAGTCAGGTATGGTGATACATACCTGTAACCCCAGTGCTATGGAGGCAGAGATAGAAAGGTCCCAGGAGCTTTCTGGCCAGCTAGCCTAGTCTAATGGGCAAGCTCCAGGTTCAATGAGAGATCCTATCTCAAAAGATAAGGTGGAGCATGATTAAGACAAATATCTGACATTGACTTCTAGCCTCCACACCCACACATACCCACACACAAGCATATATATATATATATACACACACATAAAAGCACATACACACACATGCACACACACACATAAAATGTAGATAACAATATAGCTTGCTGATTGGCTGAGTGGTCATATTCCTGTCTTGTGAACTCACTTGTGTGGCCAGGAAAGAAGCATGGGCCCTGTGAGAAGTGAGACACTTGGAACATGTCAGTAGGATGCACACTTCTCTGAGAGTGAGCATGGCCATTTTCAGGAGAGTAGTACCGGGCAGATCAAGGTCTACAGGACCACGCCAAGTCATGGTCTGGTTTGCAGCCTTTAGAGGCAGGCTGCTTCCTGGGGATCAGTCCTGCAGAACTCTCAAACTCTAGTGTTCAGTCCAGCTTAAGAGTTCAGTTAACTGAATTGCTACATTAGTCAGCCATTAGTCTGGACTACTGATTTTTTTTTGGGGGGGGGGGGCTAGGCATTGAACCCAGGGCCTCATTTATACTAAGTACACACTCTCCTACTGAGCTCCCTCGGCCCTGTTCTGCACTGTTTAAAAATGAGTTACCAATAGTTTCATAAGTTACAAAGGTGAAATAGTAACAGTATCTTGAGTTCTTTTTCTTTTTGAGACAGGGTCTCCCTGTAGCCCCAGCTGGCCTGGAACTCACTATGTAGACCAGGCTGGCCTTGAACTCACAGAGATCTGCCTGCCTTTGCTTCCCGAGTGCTGGGATTAAAGGTGTGTGCCACCACACCCAGCTATCGGTTTCTTTCTTTAAAGTATTAAGAATACTTTTACCACAACGTAAACTTGGACTAGCTTAATGGACCAGCAAACAAAATTTTCTGCAGTTTGCCCACTGTTATCTTAAATTTAAGAGGCCCTTTTTTCTGTTTTGTTTTGCTTTGCTATTTTAGAGAAGGTCTCACACTATAGCCCTGGCTGGTCTAGAGCTGGCTATCGACCAGGAACTTTCAGGAAGCCTCCTGTCCGAGGGCTGGGATTGTAGGCACACACCACCATACCTGTTCATGTTTTCTTGTTTTCTGAGATAGGGGCTCTCTTTGTAACCCAGGTTGGTCTCAAACTCATGATCTTGTTTCATCTTCCTGCTAGAATTACAGGTGCTTACCACACCTGTAAGCAAGATTTATTAAATGAAGGTCATAGTTGATGAGAAACTGGATTCCCTTTTAGTTTAGTTTTACACCAAAGATCAGGATCTCAATAGATCAACAAAGTCCACAGACCAGTGTTTGCTATTTGGCTTTACTTTATAAAAATACACAACTTAAATACATATGACACTCTGTATACAAGACATAACTGGTAGATTTAACATTTGGAGTTATTCTACAGAAAGCAAATATGTAGATTACCTTGTAAGAGCAAAATGTTTGCTGATAAACTGCATTCACAGTCAAAGGGAAGAATGCCCAGGGTGCAAATGATGCAGGAAGTCAACCCAACTGTCCAATTTTCCAGCAGTCATCCCACCACTTAGCATTGCCACCACCAACAAATGCCTGTATCTTCTACAGAAACAGGTAATGGAACAATCAATGTCCAAGGACACTATGTCTTCAGATTGTGCTCAATACCGAGTTATGAGAAGTACCAATCATTCTTGGCTTGCAAATCATGCAATGGAAGTTGCTTAGCTCTGTTTTGCAACTAAATTCATTTTCACAAATTTTACAAAAATTCTGGCAGATGTGGCTCCATGGGATGCAGTGGCAAGGGAGGCACCGTTCCAGAGGCTAGCGAGCTGACGTGGTGGAGGGCACTGTCACCACTAAAGGCAACCACACCTGGCTTCCCTCTTTCTAACTTCAGATGGAAATCATGTCCTCCCTGGTGACTATCAGCACTCTAGGAGGAACAGCCACTCCTCCATGATGCAAGCTCACAGGTGTGCTTTTCACTCTGGTGAGCTTTCAGACATCTAGCTGCCTTATTCACTAAACTAAGAATTAGGTACCAGTTTGCAGTTATAAGTATTTACCACTTGAGAATATACTAGAGTAAATTTCCTGAGGTAAATGTAAGCCTTAAAGAATAGTGTGCAGTCTACAGAATAACAGCACTTTTATCTTGGATTACAACACAAACCCCTAATATCTGGACTTTTAAATTAACAGACTAACAAACCAAGAATACATTTATATGAAGAAATAAAGTGACCTTGCATAAGGACAAGAAATATTGACAGTTGAGACTAGGAGTTCATAGGGAGGCACAAAAGGAGAACAGAGACACAAAGGAGAATGTATTTAAAGTGCTTAGTGGGCTGGGAGATTAACTTGAAATGCCTCTGGGGACTTTGAACACGTTTAAGAAGTCATACTTCATGGTGACTCAGATGTGGGAGACATGGCTTTTCTTTAATAATAGCTGTTCAAACTTTTTAGTTCCTCTTTTGAAAAACAAGATCCTGTATAAAAAACTTCTCAGCCACTGAAATGACTATGAGTTCTGACTCTTCCTGCTGTATTTTGGAATCTTAACTGGCTGAAGAGTTTTTAATAAGGTTGAATGGCAAAGAACACACCTGCGCCAAGAATTTAAATGAACGCATAGAGGTCTGTAAAGTGATGCATGAAGTCAGTATCTAAAAATAATTTACACTGCAAAACATGCTCTGTTATTAATGTAGACTGATGAATTATGGAAATCAGAACAATTCTGGGACCCTGAGGCTTAACTTTCTCATCTCATCTCTATCATATCATGAAGTAGTACACGGCCATCTTGATGGTTAAAAATGAAGATGTTAGAAACTGAGTCCCAAGATCTAAGAAACAAGCCCAGGCTATGTTTTGACAAGTCACTCTGAAGGATCTGAATGGAAACACCAGAGTACTCTCTGTCTTAACTGTTCATCTGCCTGTGTTGTGGAATGAGGTAACTGAGTTATTTAATAACCATGGTAAAGACTGGGACCAGGTGTGACAACGGGGCCCAAAGCGGACAGCACCATGCACAATCCCTCATCCACAGGACTCCATTTTGTTCCAAGAGCAGACCAATATGGAGTACCTTAGGCCTGAGGAAGGCCTTAAGCAGAATTATGGCCCAAAAGAACTTTGGGTTGGAGCTCTATAATTCCAGAAGCTAGTTTGAGGGCCAGAAGAAAATCCCAGAAGAAATTATGAAATCATATACCAGATCTCTTAATCTTTTTATACCAGATCTGAATCTATTAAAAGTAGCATTTTTGATTATCATCTGGACAAATCTTACACTGTAGACCCATGCTCTGGGCTTCTGAGGACAAACTTGGGGCAGCTGAAAACAGTCATGCAAAGTGAGGCTGCTATATGGCAGAGGGAAAAAAATCCCCAAGACTGCAGTGGCTTAGACTGTAAGAAAGGAGTTTTTCTTCTTAGGTAAAGATGTTATCTGGCAACCAATATGGGATAGGTATTTAAAATTCCGTCCAGTAACACTTTATATCCTTCAAAACTCAACACAGGTGGCTGCAGCTAAAAATATGAGTAACATAATGAGAGATGACAGGAGTCAAGCAAGGAGACCGGGTCTGTCAAGTGCTATAAGAGACGTCAGTTCCAATGCTTGATCATTTCTCCCCTATGTATGAAGGCGGAGACCAAAGCATGAGAATGCGAAATGAGTTTATATACTTGAAGTTTAGAAATACTATTCAAGCCGGGCATGGTGGCACACGCCTGTAGTCCCAGCACTTGGGAGGCAGAGGCAGGCGGATCTCTGTGAGTTCCAGGCCAGCTGGGGCTACAGGAAGACCCCATTTCAAAAAGACCGGAAAAACAAACAAACAAACAAACAAACAAAACATTAAAAAATGTGGAGCCCAAGCAGAAACCAATTCTGCCCTACACAGGTCAAAGATGTCCCATTGCTTCCGCCAAGAGATCCACACTTGCCTCTGGTCACCCAGGTCCAGAGTAAGGCCAGGGAGTCAAGAATATAGCTGATGTGGGGTATAAACATAAAAGTGGGGTGAGAAGAGGAAGAGAAACAGAGTAACACTGGTAAGGAAGAAAGTGGCTCACTTGTGGAAGAGCACCTACCTGCCTGTAGGAGGAATGAGGACAGGGACAAGTCTCATGCAGGACCCTCTTAGTGTCCTCAACATGCCTGAGCTCAGTTGGCGTTTCCCTCGATGTGTAACTGAGCCAGTGCTCCAGCATAATCTCCAGTGTGCCCTCCAAGTGCTTCTGTCTTAGACTTTGGGTTCTCATTCCCAGAGGCACAGCACTCCTTGCTGCTACTAGCACCTATTTCTAGGACAGAACAAAGGCCTGAGATTTGAGATGGGCTGGAGGAGCCCCAGGCAGGGTATCCAGCATCTATGGCTGCCACCACTTTTTTCTTAGCACTGGCTTGTCTCTCCCTCTGGTGGTTGGAGAGGGAAACAGAGTGAATGTCCTAAAAGGGCAGGTCAACAGAATAGTGTCCCCTCACTTCACATTCTTCCACAGGGTTGCCCAGAGTTCACTCATTTATACTGGAGGTTTTGTTTGCTTGTTTTTCTTTTTTCATTTCCTGTTCTTTTTTGAGAGAGTGTCACCATGTAAGCAAGGCTAGCCTCAACATCACAATCCTCCTGCCTTATCCACCTGAGTACTGGGATTATAGGCATGTGCTACCATGCCTAGCTAATAAGTATAGGCTGATGACTAAAATACTAGCAAAAGAACTTATTGGGAAAGGAGCCATTTGCTTGTAAGGTGATACTAAGCTTCCAGGGGCTTGGATGTTGTTTGCTTGTTTTTGATGTTTTCACTCCTGGTTTTCTTTCCTTTTCTGGTGATGGGAGGGAGGGTCCTCCCTCTCTTTGGAAACCTCCTGGACTTCTGCAAGTGATTGTCTAAAAGATGCTACAATACAGTGGTTCCGAATGACTGAGAAAACACCCAAGTTATCTGGCTTAATAAAAAACAAAGTGCGGTGCATAAGAGACACGGGGCTCTCTTGCTGCATACAGATGCATGTCATCTCACTGTGAAACACCTACAAAATGGTGAACAGAAGCCTGGACTACTAATTTACAAATGACAGCACATGGTGAACAAAGCAGGAGCATCTGCGAAGGGAAAATCCATGCTGGTTATTTCACCTCAAGGGGCGTCTGTTTGTACTTGAGCCCCACGTTTGGGGGTTCCTCTGCCCTCTATTTGATGTTCTTTAGGAGGGCTGTACGGGCATTCACAACTGCTTTGAAGGCATCTTCACTACCAGGTGCTACACATTTGTCGGGATGAAGCAGCACAGCAAGCTTCCGGTAGGCCTTATTGACTTCCTCCCTGTGAAAAGCAGCGGAGCTCTGTGTTAGTAAGGAGATTGGCCCCAACCCCTGAATCCTAGCTGTCTGGATATGATTTCTCACACTATGCATATACCAAGTAACCATTTCCTTTTCTCAAAGGTAGGACCAAGAGACTAGAAAACAAAAAACAGGTTATAAGCAAATAGAATACAAAAAAATCTAGCACTTGGCAGGCAGAGGCAGGCGAATCTCTGTGAGTTCAAGGCCAGCCTGGTCTACATAGTGAGTTCCAGGACATCTGGGGCTACAGGGAAACCCTGTCTCAAAAAGACCAAAATAATAATAATAATAATTACAGTATGGGGCTAGAGAGATGGCTCAGTGATTAAGAGCACTGACTGCTCTTGCAGGGGACCCGGGTTCAATTCCCAGCACCCACGTGGCGGCTACGAACTGTCCTTGACTGCAGTTCCAGGGGAATCCAATGCCCTCTTCTGACCTCCGCAGCACTGCACAACATGGGCACACTCACATACACGTAGGCAATACACTCATACACATAAAATTGAAAAATTAAAAAATAATATAGTGCAAAATGAGTCTAGGAAACAGCAAGAAAATGAACGGCTGCAGGTAGGCAGCTCTGGACTTAGTGGGTACTAAGCAAGCCTCTGCTGACTGAAGGAAATGGGAGCCTGGACACCAGAGAAAATCCCCCAGAAGAAACTTCTGGAAGAAGAGAGGCTTGGTTTTAGCTTGGGGTCAGGGATTCAGAGTGCTAGGGAAGGAACTGAGAGGCCAGGAGCACAGCATAGATGCTGCGTGGGGACAGTTTCAAGAAAGAGAGGGGGTAGTGAGAGCAACCAAGGGAAGACAGCTTATATAACATGAAGCAAGAAACAGTGGAAGCAGCTGGACAGTTCAACCCCTAGCTGGAGAAGATAAGGAGAAGGGGCTGAGATGACTTCCATGGTCCTAAAGAAGCAGGGCTTGGCTGGCCAAGGCAGATTCCTTTCTCATCCCCTCCTCTCTATCCTCAGGTGTCAGGCTCCTGCAAGTTCTAAGTACCCAGCCACTGCCCAGGACAGGTCAGACTCTGTCTCTGCCACATGGTTTTACTTCCCACCTTCCTTTGTAGCCAAGGTACCTGTCATCCTGTCGGTGTGACACGAGCTATGCCATGTACCTCACCATATATATATATGATATAGTGTATGAAATTCTCAAAAATTCAATTAGAATTTTTTTTTCTTTTGGTCTTTTTGAGACAGGGTCTCTCTGTAGCCCCACTGTCCTGAACTCACTATGTAGGCCAGGCTGGCCTTGAACTCACAGAGATCCGCCTGCCTCTGCCTCCTGAGTGCTGGGATTAAAGGCGTGCGCCACCACGCCCGGCTTACCTTTCTGTATTTTTATTGGAAGGACTTTTCATCTCATCCTCCAAATTTAGGAGATGTTCTTTACTGGCTTGGAAGTGATACAAAATTTGATGTCAGTTCAGGTGAGGTGGACTTGGTCCCAGCACTTGGGAGGCAGGCAGATCTCTATGACCTTGAGGTCAGCCTGATCTATATTGTGAGCTCCAGGCCAGGCTGGGCTACATACTGAGGGAGGGAGGGAGGGAGGGAGGGAGGAAGGGAGGGAGGGTGCGAGCAGAGAGAGAGAGAAAGAAAGAGAAAGAGGAGACAGAGAAAAGAGAAGGAAAAAGAAAAAGAGAGGAGAGAGAGAAAGGAAGAAAGAGGAGACAGAAAAAGGAGAGAAAGGAAGAAGAAAGAAAGAGAGAGAGAGAGAGAGAAGGAAGGAAGGAAGGAAGGAAGGAAGGAAGGAAGGAAGGAAGGAAGGAAGGAAAGAAAGAAAGGAAGGACGGATGGACGGGAAGGGCTGGAGAGATGGCTCAGCAGTTAAGAACACTGGTTTTTCTTGCAGAAGACCCAGGTTTGAATCCCAGCACCCACGTGGCAGCTAACAACTGTCCATAACTCCAATTCCAGGGGATCCAACAGTCTCTTCTGTCCTCCACAGGCACTGCACGACATGGGTGCAGTTACCTAAATGCAGGCAATACACGCATACACACAAAATAAAAATAATAAATTTTTAAAAAAGAAAGAGGAGAGAGACACAGAGAGAGACACAGGAAGAAAGAAAGAAAGAAAGAAAGAGAGAGAGAGAGAGAAAGAAAGAAAGAAAGAAAGAAAGAAAGAAAGAAAGAAAGAAAGAAAGAAAAAGAAAGAACTCCACTTCATTTCTTGAGACAGAGTCTCTTCACTGACCCTGGAACTCACTGATTTGGATAGACTAGCTGGCCAGCAAACTCCAGGGGGTCAACTGTCTATGATCCCCCAAACTGGAGTTACAGGTGTATGCTGCCATGCTTGGCTTTTATGTGGATGGACACTGGGGATCCAAATTTAGTCCTAGCGCTTATGTAGTCATCTCCCTAGGCCCTACACATGCATCCTTGATATTAGTTAACAAGAATGACATTCTTTGTCTTAGAAGAAATTTGAATGGCCAGAACTTGCATTTACCCAAAGACCATGTGTCCCTGAGGTGAGTACAGTATCCTTCTCTTTCCCAGAAGAAATCTGGGGCAGGGCCTAGGAAGTCACTGATTCGAGCACTCAGTGTTACACCTGGCCTCTGCACTGACTGCCTTTCAGTATCTCCTTCCCTGTCAGAAACGCATGGAAGTGGACGAAGAAAGCTTCCTTCCTATGAGAAGTACATGGACACCGAAGTGGCTGCTGATGCCCTAGGTGAATATGGAAGGGTCGTGTGGTTCAAATCAGTGGTGGAAATGACAAACAAGTCTTTCCTATGAAGCAGGGTGTCATGATCCATGGCAGAGTGCACCTGCTGCTGAGTAAGGGGCATTCTTGTTACAGATCAAGGAGGACTGGAGAGAGAAAGTGCAAGTCTGCTCGGGGATGCATTGTGGATGCCAATCTGAGTGTTCTCAACTTATTTATTGTGAGAAAAGGAGAGAAGGATATTCCTGGACTGATAGATACCACTGTATCTAGGCCCAAAAGAGCTAGCAGAATCTGCAAACTTTTCCATCTCTCTAAAGAAGATGGTGTCTGCCAGTATGTTGTCAGAAAGCCATTAAACAAAGAAGGTAAGAAGCCCAAGATTAAAGCAACCGAGATTCAGTGTTTTCACAGTGTGTCCTGCAACACAAACGCCACCATACTGCTCTGAAGAAACAATGCACTGAGAAAAATAAGGAAGAGGCTGCGGGATCTGCTGAACTGTTGGCCAACAGAATGAAGGAAGCCACAGAAACACCAGGAACAGACTGCCAAGACACAAGCTGTCCTCACTGAGAACATCTACTTCCAAGTCTGACTCTAATCAAAAGAAATCTTTAAAAGTAACAAGTAAGTATGATCAAACCCTAAAGAAGATGATTTCTAGACATGGAAAAGACTCTCAAAGGAAAGTTTTGAAGAAACAAGACTGATTCAGGTGTGTGTCAGCAATATATCAATTCTACAGAAGATGAAATGTTTAAGTTCAAGGACTATAAACAGAGTTAGCACCAAACAAATATCAAAATTCTCTGTAACTTAAGAAACTAATGTTTAAAGATTTGACCCAAGTGTGTTCAGTATTATTTTGGTAGACTCAGCTGCACAAAGGTAAGAGGAACATGTGCTTGTCTTGGTTAAGAAAATGGAAACTACAGAGGCCCTGGAAGCTCTGGTAGATTCTAGCTAACCAAAGAGAATAAATAAGGAGCCAAAATTTTCTTTCTCTTCAATGAATACTATTTAAAGTACATAAAGGAATAGCTCCTTAACATCTAAACCAACATCACTTGGAAAAGACATGGAAGAATTCAGAATTAGACCACAGAGGACTAAAAAGACAATTAGAAGACACTAGTAAACTCTGTGCTATATACAGGAACTCATCTGAATTCCTTCACGAGGGCAGAGCATTCTTATTGCACCTAGTGAGTTCAAGGTGGCCCAAAACAGCCTTCCTTCTCTTTCCCCATCTGTCCTCTGGATATGAAGATATGCCATGAGGCCAAAATGAAGAGAGGCTTACTGTTGATAAGGCAATGATTTCAAGGTAAAATGTTTCTGTTATGGAGGTCAAGGTGAGAAAACAGGAAGGGAAAAGGACGGGGAGGAGAGCTACCATCTAAAATGAGACCATCCTAACTAGTCACACATACAGTAACATAATCAGCAATTTTAGCACCATGTTCAGCAATAAGTTACTTCTGCATAAGTAACTCCTTTCTTTCCTTCTGTGCTGGAGACTGAACCCAGGTGCTTGTACATGCTAAGCAAGTTCTCTACCACTGAGCTAAACCCCTACCCGTCTTCTTCCTCCTCTTATTTTTTTTAACATTTTATTTTCTATCTTTATTATTTTATGTGTATGAGTATATTGCCTGTATGTATGTAAGTACACCAGTGTTGTGCAATGCCCGAGGAGGCCAGAAGAGGGTGTTCGATTCCTCTGGAACTAGAATTACAGACAGTTGTTAGCTGCCATGTGGGTGCTGGGAATTGAACCTGGATCCTCTGGAAGAGCAGCTAGTGCTCTTAACTCCTGAACCATCTCTTTTGTTTTTTTGAGATAGAATTTGACTATGTAGCCCAGACTGGCCTCAAACTTGTAATCTTCCTTCTTTTTACAATATTTATTTTATGATTTTTACTTTTTTATGTGTATGAGTGTATTGTCTGCATATATGTAAGCATGCCTGTGTTGTACAATGCCTGAGGAGGTCAGAAGAGGGTGTTTGATCCCCTGGAACATGTTGGTGCTGAGAATTGAACCCGGGTCCTCTGGGCCAGTGCTCTTAACTGCTGAGCTATCGCTCCAGCCCCGTAATCTTCCTTTAGTCTCCTGAGTACTAGGGTTACTAGCGTGTACCACCATGTCTAGCTCTTCCTAAATAAATCTTTTGGCTAGAAAAGAATAAACATTAAACCAATTGGATGAGAATGAACAGGTTTTATGAGAAAGGCACAGTCAAGCACACACAGTGTTCCTGAGTCACGGACCATGGCTGTCTCCTAGGGACCTTGAAGATCCTTAGTCTTCCTTCCTTAATAGTTTTCCTAATTATAAAATGAAATTTTTGGACAAGTTGATTGCATCTTTCTTCTTCTATGATTTAAGATTCTTTTTTCCCCCTCAAGGTTTTCTTAGGTTACGTTAATGCCAATGTTCTTGCTCAACACAGATGAAGACAGAGCAAGCTCATGTACTGAAGTGTTTACGCAGAAAAAGTTCACTCAGCAGGTAACTGTGCCTTGTTTAACTTCTTTGTATGGAGTTAATTTAGTAAGCAGTATCATTATGTAGCTTATTTCCACATGTTTCTTGCCAGTCAGAAGAAAGATTGCACCTACAGTTTTGGCAACACAGTCTTTCTGCCAGAACTCAGCACTAAGTACCCTATAACTCTGCTTACCTTGATGCCCCAGGTTTGATGCCCAGCATGTCCCAACTGTCTTTACTACTTCGAATTCTGCGAATAGTGTCTGCTTGTTCTTTGGTGAAACTAGCACTGCTGTTTGTGGTAGGACGTTTCCCGCCATTTTCACATAAGTCTACTATGGATATATAAAAGGTCTGCAAGAAAACACATCCCAGAGCAGAACTGATTTGTGAAAAAGGAATTCCTTTTAGGTATCAACCTAAAGACCATTAACATGAATAAATACAGACTTTGGAAGATTTTTCTCACACTATCTAAATATATACTTATATTACTTACATATTTCAAAAGAGAGAAAGTATAAAGTTTTCATAAATTTAATTTTAAGAATGTAAATGATTTATGTTCCTAATGTCAGAGCAGCATACTTGAGGTTAAAAAGCAATAGATGAATATGGGGCTGGAGGGATGGCTCAGCAGTTAAGAACACTGTTCTTGCAGAAGACCAGGGTTCAAATCCCAGCACCCACATGGCAGCTAACAACTGTCCATAACTCCAGTCCCAGCAGATCTGACACCTCCGCAAGCATTGCATGGCATGGGTGCACTTACCTACACACAGACAATACATGCATACACATAAAGTAAAAATAATAAAATTTAAAAAAAATAAAATATTTTTTATAAAAGGTAATAGATGAATAGCTAGAAAAATGTGAATAGGCACAATATAAAGTAAAGGCTGGAGAGGCGGCTAGGCAGTTTAGAGCTCTTGCTGCTCTTGCAGAGGGCCCAAGCTTGGTTCCCCAAACACATTCGCAGTTCACAACCACTTGTAACTACAGCTCCAGGAGATCTGACCCCCTCTCCTGGCCTCCATGAGAATCTACATTCAAACATGCACATCCTCCCCCCAACAACCCCCAGCCACACATATATACATAATTAAAAATCTTTAGCAGAATGCAGTGGTGTACACCTTTAATCCCAGCACTTGGGTGGTAGAAGTAGGCGGATCTCTGTGAGATTGAGGCCAACCTGGTTTACACAGTGAGTTACAGGTCAGCTGAGGCTATTGGGAAACCACGTCTCAAAAATGAAACAAAACAAAAAGTAATGAAAAATAATAAAATCTTTAAAAAGTACATAAAATAGTGGGCTGGAGAGATGGCTCAGCAGTTAAGAGCACTGGCAGCTCTTGTAGAGGATCTGGGTTTAGTTCCCAGCACCCACATGGTAGCCAACAACTCTATAATTCCAGTTCCAGGATATCTTCAGGCCTGCATGGGCATTGCAAACATGGGTACACTTACAGGCAGACAAAGCACTTACACACATAAAATAAAAATAATAAATAATTTAAAAATAGATAAAATAAAAATTTTCTCCCTATCTTAGAGTTCTTAAAATAGCCATCATTAATATTTTTAGTATCCTTATAGAAAAATCTGCTCTTAAGAATATTATATATACAGCGGCTGGAGAGATGACTCACTGGTTAAGAGCACTGACTGCTCTTGAAGAGGACTGGGGTTCGATTCCCAGTACCCACATGGCAGCTAAGAACTGTCTTTAATTCCAGTTCCAGGGGAATCTGACACCCCTCTTCTGTGGGCATTGTATAACACAGGTGCACTTATATACATGCAGGCAATACACTTGTACTAAAAATAATAAAAATTAAAAAGAGTATTATATATATACATATCAATACTGTATAAACATTTTACATGAACAATACTAGTTCAAACACATTACGTATTGCTTGTACTATTTTTTTCATATAATATCTTACTCAGGCCTGGTGGTAATGCCCGTAATCTCGACTATTCAAAAGGCGGAGAGAATCAGGAGTTCAAGGTCTTCCTGGCCTAAAGAATGAGTTCAAGACAAGCCTCGCTAACTTAATGAGACCCTGTGTCAAAATAAAAAGTAAAAAGGTAGCTTGAGATACAGCTCAGTAGTAGAATAGTTGCTTACCATGAGCAAGGACCTGGGTTCAATACTTAGTACCAAAGAAAAGAAATACATCTTGGAATCTTTCTATAGCTACATTTACAGGCCTCCTTTGCTCTTTCTAATGACTGGTGTCTTACTATGTGGCCACACTATAATTGGTTAACTCTTTTTAGATAAACCTGTTGTTCCAAATCTTTAGGTTATTATAATAGTATTGAATTTCTGTTTGTTTGGGTTTTGTTTTGTTTTTGACAGGGTCTCATGCAGCCCTGGCTGGCCTTGAATTAGCTATGTAGCTGAGGATAATTCTGAACTTGTGACCCCTCCCTCCTGTCTGTCTCTCGGGTGGTGCTGGAATTAAGGCACGCACCACATGCACCTCTGTAGTGCATATTTCTGGATGTCCAAGTTTCTCCACACTTGTAGAGATGCTATTTTAGGATAAATTCCTAAAAGCAAAACTGTTCAGTAAATGTTTAAGTGTACTTTACTCTTTATTCTGACCATTATTTCCCATAAAGGCTGTAGAGCTGACATTCCTATCACTATGTATGAGACTGCCTATTTCCCATACCCTTGTTAACATTGGGCAGTATCTTAAGTTTTGCTAATCTGAAGTGTATCTCATAGTTTTGAGTTGCATTTCTTTAATTACAAGCAGAGTAAGTTTCTCTTCTCTCCTCTTCAAAACTAGGGTCTGTTATGTCACTCAGGCTATCCTTGAACTTGTGATCCCCCTACCTTTGTCTCATGAATGTTGGAATTACAGGTGTGCCACCACACCTGGCTCTATAGCTGTATTTTTTTCCAGTGTTGGGGATTGTACCCAGAGTCTTGTACATGCTAGGCAAGTATTGCACCACTGAGCTACATCCCAGACCCTATAGCTACTATTAGGTGATGGATCTCCTCTTTCCCCACTATCTCTTAAAGTACCTTCTTTTTCAGATTTTTCAGTAGCACCTATTATCTTCTTTTGAAAATGTCCCTTTCCTTTAAACTCTTCTTTCTCATTTCCAGTTAAAGTTAATCAACTTGGAAACCTAACATCCAAAAAGTATCAAGGAAAGCCACTAGTGACTAAGACCAAAGAAGTGTTAGCCATGTCAATCAGATTAAACCAAGTTCCCTCCTAGCATAAGTCTCAATTAAGCAGACAGGAAATCAAGAAATATTAAACTGAATCAGAAGGAAATCACTCCTGAGGCTTACTTACACTCTTCTTGTTAGCCTTTAAGAAAAAAGGCTAACTCATCCATCATTTCTACCAAGAACTATGCAAAAGGATAAAAGCACCTAAAAGAGTTCACAGTTCACAATGTTGCAAATATTGGCAACATTTTCTTGTAGCCTAGTATTAACTTGAAATAGAAATACATAGATTCTAAGGGCACAAGGATTCATTATAACACACTTGACTATGGAGGACAAGCTACTGTCTTCACACTAGGAGGGAAATGAGAGCTAGTTTAAACTTCATGAGTTCCAGCCAATGCAGAGCAAATGGGTACTGGACCAGACCTCCTATCAACTGTCGAACTGGACTATGTGTGAGGCAACTATTTTCAGGCAATGGAAAACAGCCAGGTGTGAAACAACTGAGAGGTAAGTCCATTCATGGACTAGTTCTTCCTTAAGGCCATATGGAAATGAAGGCACAAAGTCCCAGAGAGACCAGAGAAGGAGGCAGAGACCAGGTTCCAGGGGAAGAGCTAGCCTGAAGACACTTGAGTTTGGCCTTACCAGAATGCCGAATCCTACCCCTGAAATCTCTCTGAAGCAACACAGGAAGGGTAGGCCATAGGAGTACATTCTTCCTAACAAAACCCAAACCCAAGAACCAATACAATCAACAAGAGACAGATTTTGGAAGCTGAATCCTTCCAAATTAGAAGGGTTTAGGAAACACTTTGAGCTTCCTTCAGATTCTTGGTATTAAAGCAAAACTCCAAGCCTACAGAAGTTCACTGCAACCCACCTCCTGAGATACGGAGCAACATTCTTCTGAGGAAGATAAAGAAATATGCAGAGGCTCTACAATGTACTATCCACAGATCTGGTACTCAGTCAAAATATCACCATGCATCCAAAGAAACAAGAAAACATGACCAACTGTAGGAAAAAAGTAGTCAATAGTAGTAACTGGACCCAAGACAGTTCAGATGCTAGACTTAGTAGATAAGACTTTCAAACAGCTATTATAAATACTGACAGATGATAAAGGAAAATATGTTCAAAGAAATAAAGTAAAACATACTGTTAAAATATATTTTGTTTACTATTATTGTGTGTGTGAGAGAGAGAGTGTGTGTGTGTGCGTGGACACATGTGGCGGTCAGAGGACAACTTTCAGGAGTCAGTTCTCTTCTTCCATGTGAGTTCTAAGATCAAACTCAGGCTGTCTGTAGGTTTGCATGGCAAGCATTTTTACCTGCTGATCCACCTTGCCAGTCAAGGAACATACTCTTATTTATTTGGGATAGGGTCATAAATGTGAAAGTCAGAGGACAACTTTGTGGTCTCTCCTTCTACCGTGTGGAATCCAGAGATCAAACTCAGAACATTAGATTTGGTGGTAAGCACGTCTACCGTAGACCATCCCACGCTGGCTTCCATCTCACAGAGATCTGCCTGCCTCTGCCTCCAGAGTACTGGACTATAAAGACATTGTGCTACAACACCCACAGAGAAAATAAACTCTTTCAATGTTTTTTTTAAATTTTAATTAAAATTTTTTTTTATTTATTATTTTTATTTTATGTGTATGCATGTATTGCCTCCATGTAGGCAAGTGCACCCATGTCGTGCAATGCCCACGGAGGACAGAAGAGACTGTTGGATCCCCTGGAACTGGAGTTACAGACAGCTGCCATGTGGGTGCTAGGATTCGAAGCCAGGTCTTCTGCAAGAGCCACCAGTGTTCTTAACCACTGAGCCATCTCTCCAGCCCCTTTAATTTTTATTTTATGCGTATGAGTGCACTGCTTGCATGTATTTAAGTGTACTCATGTTGTGCAATGCCTGCAGAGGCCAGAAGAGGGTGTCAGATCCTCTGGAAGTGGAGTTGTGGACAGTTGTTAGCTGCCATGTAGGTGCTAGGAACTGAACCCATGGCAAGAGCAGCCAGTGCTCTTAATGACTGAGCCATCTCTCTAGCCCCCAGGAAAATAAAATTTTAATAAGTGAACAGAATCTTAGTAGAGAACTGATAACTATAGAAAAGCATCAAATGAAAATTCCAGAAGTGAAAAGTACTAAATTGAAAAGTTCCTTAAGTGAGCTTAACATCAGATTATCAACAAACTTTCAGTCAAATAAACAATGATTATACAATTTTTTTAAATGGAGAAAAATAAACAGTCTTACAGACTACAAGACAAAAAATAGGATGGTTTAGTATACATGTACCTCAAGCCCAAGAGGAAAAGAGAATTGGGCCAAAATGTACTTGGAAAAAGCCATGGTTAAAAAACAAAAAGCTGAGGAGGTGGCTCAGCTGGTCAAGTCTTTACTGTGCAAGCATGAAGAACCCATTTTTTTCTTTTTAAAAATTCAGGGCATGGTGGTATGTGCTTATAATCCCAGCACTGGGAGGTAGAGAGGGGTTCATTGGTCGGCCAGCCTAGCTGAATTGGTAATTCCTAGGTCAAGGTAAGACCCTGTATCAAAAAAAAGGTAGAAAGCATAGAGGAATTACATTCAAGATTGCCCTCTGACCTCCATAAGCACAAGTACACATGTGCCCATGTATACAACACAGACACACACACAGAGCAAAAACCAAAGAGAAACAAAGCAAATTTTCCTAAATTAAAAAAAATTATTTTATTAATTAAAAAAATTTATTATTTTTATTTAATGTGTATGTGTGTATTGCCTGCATGTAGGTAATAAGTGCACCTGTGCTGTGCAATGCCCACAGAGGTCAGAAGAGGCTGTCAGATCCCCCCCGGGACTGGAGTTAGGGACAGTTGTTAGCTGCCATGCGGGTGCTGGGATTCGAACCCGGGTCTTCTGCAAGAACAGTGGTCTTGACCACTGAACCATCTCTCCAGCCCTTACTGATTCATTTTTCAAAAATTTTATGTGTATTGTCTACATGATGCACATGTGTTGTGCAATGCCCACAGAGGTGAGAAGAGGACAGTAGAGGCCCTGGAATTGGAGCTACGGATGATTGTTAGCTGCCACGTGGGTGCTGGGAACTGAACCCGGGTCCTCTGCAAGAGCAACCAATGCTCTTAACCACTGAGCCATCTCTCCAGTCCCGAAATTTCCCATATTTGATGAAAAATATCTATATACCAATCTTAGAAAAATCAACAAATCCCAGGTAGGAGAACTATAAAGAGAAACACACCTCAGCATATAGTCCAACAGGTGAAAACCAAAGACAAAGACAAAGTCCTAAAAGCATCCAGAAGGGGAAAATGTGTAGTTTGAACAGAGAAATAAGAGTATGAATTGGGGCTTGCACCTCATGAGACACAATAAAGGCCAGAAGAGAATGGAAATACTCTGATTTGATCACTATTCATTGTATTTGTGCATCAAATGATCACAAATAATGTACAATTAAAATACTAAATAAAATACTAATTAAAATACGAGACTAAAAGAGAAGTATAATCTCTAAGTTATTGCATATGCCCCAGACAAGACACCTACCCCTGAGATGTTCTCATATATGCAATGAAAACAATACCTGCCACATGATGTCACCAGTCTCAAATGAGATGAGATGTGTAGACATCCTGCACTGTGAAATAGTCAAGTGGTTAAGTATCAAAGATATTGCACACATTGAGGTATAAACACACACAAATCAATGTGCTTTGAGTAGAAAGCAAAGCAAACCAACACCCTCTGATCTGGAAAGAGAAGCTACTGAGGCCCACTTCAGCCTGTCAGCCAAGGAAGAAACCTGTCTTCCAGTAGGAGGAGTGATAGCTTGTGAGAAGAAAATTCAGCAAAAAATTAAATACAATCCCACTCAATAATTAAGACCAACTCTTTGCAGTATAGCTACATTATTTGAAATGCTAAAAATTCCCAAAATGTCAGATATATTCATAAGAAGAAAAGAGATTATTCATACCATCACTTCCCAATATATTTATAATTAAGACCTGACTTCATTACTTACTGTTTTAAATAACCTCCTTCTCTTAAGACTATTCAAAATTAATGGGCTTTAAAAAGTGACTATCTGGGGCTGGGGCGATGGCTCAGTCAGTAAAGCACTTGCTGCACAAGCATGAGAACCTGAGTTCACCTCCAGCATCCATGGAAAAGCCAGGTGTAGTGGCATGGGCCTGTAACCCCAGCACTGGGGGGGAAGGGAGACAGGAGAATCCTGGGGGCTCTCTGAACAGCAATCACAGGTCCAGGTTCAAAAAAGTGAGAGACTCTGTCTCAAAAACAAAGGTGGAGAGCAAGAGAGGAAGACACTAAACATTCACCTTTGGCTTGCACACATCTGTGAGTACACCTATACACATACCCACAAAAGTGACCATCTATTCAGGCTGCCATGTGAACACCTCCTTCTCCTCCTTCTCCTGCCTTTTGGATTAGTGAGGCTTTGTTCTTATGTGTGACTGGCTGGATTCTGCAGTGAGAGTCTCTACCTGCATCTCTCTCAGCTACAATACAGAGTTACATGTAGCCTATGGCAACACAATTCTGCCACAGTAAGGCTTCATATAAATCTAACACCATTAGCCAAAGATGGTTTTAAGGAAAATCATGTCACTTAAGTGGCAAAGCAACTTGGTAAACCTGGTGATGCTCAGAATCACTTGGAGTGCTCTTTCAGGACACAGATTCCTAGGCAGCAAGGCTACATGAGGCTTCAAGGTGGCCTGGAGCACAGGCATCTGCATACTGAAGAATTTCCCTAGGTATGAAGGTTAATCTTGGTTGTCAATTTGATGGGGATTTAGAATCACTATGGAAACAAGCCTCTAGGCATGTCTATGGTTTTCTAGATTGGGTTAGGAAGACTCACCCATACATAAGGGTAGCACCATTCCAGGGGCTGGGCTCCTGGACTGAAAAAGAAGTACACTGAGCACCAACATTCACCTTTCTCTGTTCCTGACTGGATGCAATGTGACCAGCTGCTTTTAGCCTCCTGCGGCCTTGACTGCATGCCTCAGGGTGTAATGGACTGTAGCCTTGGACTGAGCCAAAATAAACCTTGCCTTCCTTAAATAGCTTTGTCACAGTAATGAGAAAAGTAAGACACCAGGTAACTATAACTATTGCCCAGGTCTGATCTACAATAATAGATAGCAGACAGATCAGGCAATGATATTCATTCTCATTCTTTCTCTCTTTCTCACCCTGCCCCACTTGCTTCTATGAGAAATTCCCATTACTGTTTTGCTTCTCAGAATTTTAACTGGAGTGGCTAGCCTTGACATAAACCCTAAAACAGAATGTTCAGTTACCTGGAACATCTCACTGATGCCCTCTCCAGTCTGTGCTGATGTTTCAAAGTACAGGAACCCTTTGCTTTCAGCCCAAAGACGCCCCTCATTTTCATCGATGCAGCGATGCTTGGTGCAATCAATCTGAAACAGAAAGTTGAGGGGAGGTAGAGAGAAGACTCCAACTTTCTACACTTGTCCCACTACAACAGGCCAGGTAAAGTTTTTGTGACTGAGTCTCAGAAGTATGTATGAAACTACTAGGATAAAAGGGACAAAACAACAAAACCTGTTGACTGGTTTTTCTGACTTTCAACTGTACTTCCCACTTCCTCCCTTGGGAAAGCTATTACTCATTTCTCTGAAAGCTGCTTCATGCCCTGTCCTACCCAAGGGGCTACCTTCTGCTTTTGTTTTTGTGTTTTTTTTAAAGGCAATTTTTTAAATATCTTTTTTTAATATTTTATTTATTATTTTTATTTTATGTGTATGAGTGTACTGCCTGCATGTATGTGAGTGCACCCGTGTTGTGCAATGCTGTGGAAGGCAGAAAAGGGCATCAGATTCCTCTGGAACTGGAGTTACAGACAGTTGTTAGCTGCCATGTGGGTGCTGGGAATTGAACCCAGGTTGCCTGCAGGAGCAGCCAATGCTCTTAACCACTAAGCCATCTCTCCAGCCCCCTCCCATCCTTTCTTGTAGTGAGAGTGACTTTGTGACTTACTGAATAGACAGGTATTAGGAGTCCCAAAGAAGAGAACTAACAGAAGGTAAAGACAAACAGAAAGCAGCAGTACATATGGACATATTTATATTGTGTGTGCATAGACATAAGCAGTTATATGAATACATATGGGATTTATTAATTTACTCAACCAGATCAGAGGCTGAATAGTCCCAAAGTGGCTGTTCAGGCTAGAGCTGGGGGT